TAGTATTCAAAACCTTGCCCATTAGGATACAATTTAGAGAATCTTGAATTATTGAGGACTCAATTAAGTTTTGGGATTGATTATATTGAATACATGTGTTTTAAAATTGCAGGTTTTATTCCTAAATTCGATTCGTTAACCATGTCCAATCCCAAATGCCCTAGAACTTCATCGAGTCGTTGTCGTTCAAACCAGCCTCCTAATCCCGTTCCTCCACCTCCTAATAGCTTATTAGGATCTTGTTTTAACATGCCTGAGCGTCGTAGAGACGAATTATACTCTAGATACAGAAATGATTTCCAATCTTATAGAATCCTTGAAGAACGTATTCCTTCTCTTCAAGCCATGATAGATATGGACTTTGAATACCTTCCGATTCTTAAAACTTGGAAGTTTGATAAATTTTTTCATCTCAAACCTATTGTCTATCAACAATTAGTCTGCATCTTCTATTCCAATGCGGTGTGTATTCAAAACGAAACTCAATATGGGACTATAGCCATTAGATCCTATCTTTTAGGCCAATATATTAATATTGACCTCGAGACTATAGCTCTCCATTTTGGGTTAGATGATAATGAGATATATAATGAGAATGAAAATGTGGAATATCCCTATGTTCCAAACTCTAGTGTTAGTACTCTACGATCTCATCATGATCGTTTTCTTCATTTGATGATCTATTGGTGGTTTAGACCATCCGGAGGTAGGTACTCCACTTTTCGTGCTAGGGATTTATGGTGGATGCACTGTATTAAAAATAAGATCAAAATAAATATGCCCCACATTATTTTCAGTCAACTAGTGGACATCATAAACATTGTTCCTTCCAAACATGTCGAAACTTTAATTTATGGATGTCTTCTTAGTAACCTCTTTATCAAACTAGGTCTAAACGTCTCTCTCTACAATCCTATCCCACTCCAAAATCAAATCAATCTTACATCCTTGAAGAAAGCGGATTGGAAACAAGACGAGGATACCATTCTTTGGGTCTTTCGACTCGGTAAGCAAACTCCGGGAGCGAGTTCTTCACGAACTGCTCCTAGTTCTTCTCGTGCTCCTCCTCATCCTCCGGCACCGGCTACTGACGATGATCCTGAGTTTCAACAACTTATGCAAGATATCGACGATCACGTACCAGACGATGAGCCTGCACCGGAACCGGCACGGCAAGAAGATCAAATGCCACCATATTTTCGATCTTTCTTGGAGTCATTTGATATGAGGTTTGCCATGGAGTCTCAGATTACTGAGTTTCAACGGGAGATGCGTGAACGTATGGACGCACTCACTCTTGAAGTTCGAGCTCATTATCCTCCTCCTCCCGACCCTCCGATGGATTAGACCTTTTCTCCATGCTTTCTTTGTTATTTCAAACTTGGATTGTTTTGATGTTTCTGGATTGTTTGTTTTGGATTGTTAGATGCTTGAAATTGTTATAATTTGGATGATTTGATTTTGAACTTTATATATATTTGGTTTGGGTTGAATTTTCATTATGAGCTTAATGTTTATTAATTTTATTTCTGCATCATTTACATATTACACATATATGACCACTTATGCCATTTCACATTTGATTATGGAACTGATGGCTAATCTCTCTTTTGATTGTGATCTTAGCAGCTTTAGTTATATCTATTAAAATCAATTGGCTATGCTTTTCAAAACCTTGTTTAAATCATTTTAAAAGTCTTTTTGATTTAACAAAAAGGGGGAGAAATATTAAGTGTTAAAAGGGGAGAAGTGTTATAGTAAGGGGGAGTAATTTTTCAAATTGTTTTCAAATTTTTAGAAAATCTTAAAATAACGCAAATGTTTTGTTATATCAAAAAGGAGGAGATTGTTGAAAACATTTTGATGTTTCGATATAACAAATTAAGTTTAAATGAATTTTAAGATTTTACATATGATTTTCTAAGTATATTCGATTTAATTAATCGAATATCAAATTATTACTCCAAGTCTTTCAAGATCAATTTCAAACCTTACTAAATGTGTAAAATTATGTTTTATACTTAAACTATTTTTGAAACAATTTTCACAAAGTATTTTGAACCAAAATCAAGCCATAAATCAATTTTTCAAAGTGATGCACTGATGCACCAATACATGCATCGATGCACCATGGATTAAATTGAACATCGAATGCATTTTATGCATCGATGCACATACCATGCATCGATGCACTCAGTACATCTGATGCATCGATACACTCTGGCTATTTTGAAACATCGAATGCACTTGATGCATCGCTGCACTCTTAGTGCACCGATGCACTAAGGGTCCAACGGTCAAAATATTTGAATTTTACACTGATGCACCGATGCATCATGGGTATGCATAGATGCACTAACGCTCCCAACTGCTTTAATTAATTGTTTTCACACTTAAATGGCTCTAGTGACTCCACTAACCATCCTCAACGTTCAGAATCATTTGAAGGAGTATTTAAACAAGCTTATAAGCCATTGATCAAAAACAAGAAACAACAAGCAACTAGAATCAAGAGAGAATCAAAGAGAAAGCATCAAACTCATTGTTTGAGCAATTCAAGCCTATTTTTCATTCAATATTCATTTTGCTTTCAAGAACACTTCTTGTATTTTGAGTGTTCTTTTCTTTGTTCTAGAATTGTGCAAACATATTGCCTTGTGAGTTTTTCCTTGTAAGTTTGCAAATTTGTAATCTTCTCTTTGAGAAAGAGTGTTCTCAAGAATTGGGGTATATTCTTGAGGGAGTTGTAAGGTTATCTCTTTGGCCTCAAAAGAAAGAACAAATTAGTGAATTTGTTGGAAAATCCTTAGTGTGGATAGCTAAGGTAGTGGACGTAGACTTTGGTTGAGAAAGTCGAACCACTCTAAATCGCCGTGCAAATCTTTTCAATTTTCTGCAAAAGCTTCCACCAAAATTTTAATTGTCAATTCACCCCCCTCTTGGCCTATTCCATCGATCGATTAACTCAACACGTAGTTTTCATAAAAAAAACGATCACAAAAAAATTGGAAAATTAGTCTACATGATTTACATTTCAAACTACAATCACAAATTCAAACCCAATTCTAAATAATTGTCTAAACTCCAAAATAAAACACATACATAATTAAATAAAAACTTGTTCTGATATTCAAATCATACAACGAAGATGCATACGTAATATTAAGTCAAATAAAGTCATCCAAAATTGTCGTTCCACTTTTTTCACTTTCTTTAGTAGCTCCCTACATTGAGAAATTTATCAAAAAATAAACCAAATTTCACTTTAATAATTATAAAAGCTAGGGTTTAAGGTTTAAATATTTAGGGTTTGTATTATATAATTAATATAAAAAATATAAAAAATTATATATATATATATATAATCGGGGTGGGGATAACTTGCCCCGAACCTGAACCCGAACCCAAAAAAATCCCCGAATTTTACCCCGATATGCGACTCGACCCGATATTATTCAAACTCAACCCGACCCGAACTTAGCCGGGTTTTGGGTTTCCCCGTCGGGTTCGGGTCGTTCTGACATTCCTAATTATGAGTATGAGATCTTAAATTAAATTAGACTCGAATTCTTAAATTTTATTGCAAAGAAAACTAATTAATTGACTAGGTACCGATTTAGGGTGCTGTGGGGGTGCTAATAATTCCCCCATACGAACCGACTCCCGAATTAAAATTTTCGTAAAGTATACCGCAAAATTGTTGTTTTAATTGAGATTAATATTTTTATTAAAATGACAAATAATTTTTGGGTGCCCAATCACACCCTAATCAAAGGTTGGTGACGATTCCTCGAATCACGTTTTATTAACAAATCATCAAATCATTCGGAATAAGACCCCTTTTTTAAAATTTGTTTCGACACCCTCTTTGGTAAAAGGTTGTTTATTGATATAATCAGAATTGTGTAGTGAAGCAACCTACCAGATAGTTTGGTTCGCTCATTACTCTTTTATCACTTCGTACATCGTATTGTTCGATAGAAACAGAGTTTTTATGAAGGTTATTGAATTTTTTTACACTATAACAAAACAGGTATTTAGTGGGCTTTTTTAGTCATATAGCGGCATTTTTTTGTCTACAAACGCCGCTAAAGGGTATATTTTTTAGCGGCATTATTTCCACAAACGCCGCTAAAGGTTATGATATTTTGTGGCGTTGTTGAAAAATGTCGCGATATATCTTTTTTTTGTGGCGTTTGTAAAAAATGTCGCTAAATTTTCTGACATATAGTGGCGTTTGTTCCCAAAAATATCGATAAAGGTCATAACATATAGTGACGTTTGTAATTTTAAAACGCCGCTATTGACTATGGCTATAGTGGTGTTTTCTCTATAAACACCGCAAAAGATCTAGAACTTTAGTGGCATTTTTTTCTAAAACGCCGGTATTGAGTATGTATTTTGTGGCGTTTGCAAACGTCGCTAATTAACACAGACTTTATCAATGGTGTTTTATGCTCTTTTGTTACCTAAATTTAAATTTTTAACCTGTAGCATTATTCAATAAATGTGACATCCATAACAAAAAACTTGAAATCCATAATAACCGACTTGAAATCTATAATAATAAATCAAAGTTTACACTAACATAAAATATAATGCAGTTCAACATTGTTAACTAGAATGAACAAAACATATATCTAAAATAACACCTAAGATGATAGACTCTGAGGTTGATTTTGTCGTATCATCTGCATCATAACTTGAAGTGGATTTTTAAAGTCTTTACATTTTTGTTGATATGTTCTCTCTTCTTCCCTCGCTTTATTTTTAGCTTTCATTTGAGTAATTTTTTTATCAATTTCAACCAATTGTTATTTTAAACGACTAGCTTCTAATTAAGAAGACGAACTCTGGGATGATATGTACTGAGATGAACTAAATCTAAAATATTTGACGGATTAACCAATGATTCTTGACAGTTTCATTTTAGGGTTGTTAAATTTGTTGAAAGATACCTCTTAGTTCTTGTTTTCCTCTTTTGATATCTCGTGTTTGCCATCCAGACAAGTTTGTTAGGAAAACCATATAATGACCAGCGAGAGAGAACTTCCAGATTCTGAAATTGGTGGTGAGTTCTTCCGGCGCCGCCGTTGCTCCTTCGTGGCTCTCCCATCTGGTAATCCCTTTATGTTCTTCCAAATATTTTAATTTCTTCACCCATTTCTTTCAATTCTAGTTTCCCCCATTTTCAACCCAGTAAATGAGAAGAATTCGTTTCGCATATCTTTTCTCCGCTCTTAAAACCCCAAATTTCTTTCTCCCTGATTGCAAACCTAATCCCCCAATTCATGCGAATTTCATTTCTTCAGCACCAACGCCCATTAACCCACCCTTTATTCCCCCCTCCTTTTGCTCCAATGCGACAACAGCGTTCGATTCCCGTCTCACTGATGTGGCCAAATTGTATACGACTGTAATGGATAACTCTAATGCCTATGATAACTTGAAGCTAGCTTTCAGGTTTTTTACATGGGCTGCGAATCAACAAGATTATTCCCATCAGCCTCAAGCTTATAATCTAACGATTGATATTTTGTCCAGTACAAAGTATAAGATTAAACAGTTTCGAATCGTCTGTGATATGCTTGATTACATGAAGAGGTCTAACAGGAACTCCGTCCCTGCCGAAGTTTTGCTCGACATTTTGAGACGATATACCGAAAAACATATGACCCATCTTCACAAATTTGCTAAGAAGAAGCGGATACTAGTGAAGACGCAGCCGGAGATTAATGCCTTTAACTTGCTGTTGGATGCTTTGTGTAAATGTAGTTTGGTTGAGGATGCTGAGGTTCTGGTTAGGAGAATGAAAGGGAGGGTTAAACCGGATGCTAATTCATACAATATATTGTTTTTCGGTTGGTGTAGAGTAAGGAATCCAAAAAGAGGGATGCTGGTTCTGGAAGAAATGATCCAGTTGGGCCATACACCTGATAGCTTTACGTACATTACTGCTATTGATTCTTTTTGCAAAGCAGGAATGGTGACGGAGGCAGCTGAACTTTTTGAGTTTATGAGAACAAAAGGGTCGACCATGTCTTCTCCCACAGCGAAAACTTATGCAATCATGATCGTGGCTTTAATGCATAACAACAGAATGGAAGAATGTATTGAGCTTATTAGTCAAATGCTAAATAGTGGTTGCCTACCTGATGTTTCCACGTTCAAAGAAATAATAGAAGGGATGTTGTCGGCGGGGAAGATTGAGGAAGCTTACAAGTTCTTGGAAGAGATGGGAAACAAAGGTTACCCACCTGATATAGTTACTAACAATTGTTTCCTCAAGGTCCTTTGCGATAATAAAAAGTGTGCTGAAGCTTTGAGGCTATATCAAAGAATGATAGATGTGAGTTGTATGCCTAGTGTGCAAACCTATAATATGTTGATTTTGATGTTCTTTCAGATGGGTGATCTGGATGGGGTGTTTGAGACTTGGCAAGAGATGGTTAAGAGGGGATGTGCTCAAGACGTTGACACTTACTGCATCATGATAGATGGGCTTTTCAGCTGCAATAAACTGGAAGATGCTTGTTTTATTTTGGAAGATGTTGTAAACAAGGGATTGAAATTGCAGTACCCGAAGTTTGACTCATTTCTGATGCAGCTTTCAGCTATTGGTGATCTCCAAGCCATACACAAACTTTCTGAGCATATGAGGAAGTTTTACAATCCTGCTATGGCAAGACGTTTTGCCTTGAATCAGAAGCGGAAGAGTCTGAGTTTAAGAGGGAAGTAGGACATACAAAAGTGTTTTTGGAAGCTTTACTTTCATCATACGGGAGTGGGATGTGAGATTGGTACTTGCTCATTGGTTCACTCTTTTCAAAGTTTTGAATACGGAGCAACAAGGATTTTATAGGATAAAAAAAGTGGTACTGTGGGAGGATTAGTTGGCTCGAAATGTAGCATGGATATCATAAAGAGCTTCAAGCAAGCACTGACCTTGGACTAGTGTGATTCACATGTTCTCGTAATCTCTGGAAGATGTATATGATCCATGTATACTTGTTTCATTGTTTATACTAGTGTTACCCCCATAAATTTCTATACTGAGTTTGGATCTGCCGCATGGAGTGAAGTTCTGTATTTGATCGTGTTTACTTCATCGTTTTCCAATTCAGTCGAGGAACAAACACATCACAGAAGACGTTAAACTGCATTTTACAGTGTAAGTCAAAATGCAAACTTTTCTTTTTCCTCTTTCATGTTTCTGAAAACATCCTTTTTATGTTTGAATCTAGTTAATCTCATACAATATCGACCGATACGGTTTACTGTTTCGTTATAGTAATTAGCTTTAGGACAGAGAATCTCGGTAATTGTTTCAACTTTGATGCTGGAAATCTTTGATCTTGCATTTTGTTTTTGTTTTCCTTATCTTGAGATGATTAATTACTTGGACTAATCCCATTAGTGCCATTATTAGGTTAGGCCATAGAAGTTGTGTAGAAAACGAAGCCAATTAAGGGATCTAACTACTAATTTTATATTCCCAGCAACAGTTCATGTAGTAGATATATCCATATCTATATATCATATTGTTTAAGGCATACAAAACAGAAAGCAGGCATATTCTGCATGAACTAGATGAATTTCACACTGCAAACAATATGGCTACATCTCAGATTTGGGAAATTATTAGACCGCCAAAAGAAAAGTCAGATTTAGTTAAGATTTAGGATTAGAAACCGTGAGAAGATCAAGACAGGAACGGAGCCGAGCACCCAGCGTTTCAAACAATGGAACAGTGTCCATATGGACATCACAAAAGGACATTCTCTCAACGCATGAAGCAATGTCTGAAACAAAGCGGAGATGCTGCTTATTGAAAAGGTAAGCGTAACATGGCAGCAAGCTCACCCCAAATACATATCTTACGGCAATTGTTGAGTCCATAAGTAGGTATAAATCCGTTAGGGGGACAGATTCTTGTTATTCATGAACATGTAGCAAGAAATGATAGGCATTCCCAACAGTAAATTCACCATGCTTCTTGAGACGATCCCACATAACACTCATGTGCAGGGGAATACCAAGGATGGCACGTGGAAAGCTAAAGAACATCAGTTCGCCAAATCGACCATTTTAGGTTTAGTTTGTATTCTGTTAGATTTTAGGGTAAACTATACATTTAGTACCTAAAATTTTATTTGTTTCAAAATCATACCTAGCATTTACTTTTTGTTTCGTTTTGGTATCTCGCCGTTAAAAATTTAAAAGAACTGTTACACCATGGTACTTTTTTATAGGTAAATTACATCATTCATCACATAAATATCTTCTCACTTCTATTTTGGTCACTGAAGTTTATTTTTTTATTTCAATTACTTAATTTTCAAATTACTCATAATTTAATCATTCTAACTTTCAAATTTGTTTATTTTTATTCTAATTATATTAATAAAATAATAAAAAATGCCATGTCAATAAAATTACTAATAAAATAAATTAGAGATATTAAAACGTGAGTACTTTGAAAGTCAAGTAGTTAAATTAAATTTTTTTGAACTTTAATGACTAAAATAGGAGTGAGAATATATTTAAGTGATGAATGATGTAATTTACAATTAAAATGTCACATGCACCAATTCCGTTAAATTTTTAATGGCGAGATACTAAAATGAAATAAAAAGTAAACGCTAGATATGATTTTGTAATAAATTAAAGTTTAGGTATTAAAACGAATAAAATTGATATTTAAGCTACTAAACGTGTAGTTTACCCTAAAATTTATAAGGGTCAAATCAAATCTGATTAGTTCGAGTCCAGTCAATATCAGATAAGTCGATTTTTCGATTTAAATTACTATCGATTTGTCAGTTTTTGGATCGGATCAATCAATTCTCAATATAAGTTAGTTGGAGTTGAGTTGAGTAGGAGTTCAATCATATATATATATATATATTCTTGTATATCATGTCTTTTGTTTGTCTATCTTATCATATAAGCCCAATTTCAATTCTTATAAGTTTAATGTTTCGAATCAACCATCATTTAGAGATAACAATTTGATCAAACCTAACCTTATAAGACATATTAGATTTTGTGACCTAAATTTTGTGAAAAAAATAATAGAAAATGATTGATGTTTAATTATAAATATAATATTTTTTTATATATTAAAAAATAATTTAATAATTATATTGGAATATATATTGAGTTAAACAATTTTATAAACAATATTATATCTATGATAATATTTTAATTTAAATCATAAAAATAAATATCCATTTATTGTTAAAATAAACTTTTATCAACGTTTAAAAAAAAGTCTTTAATTCCTTTTTCTTTTTACATAAAAATCTTCTATTCTTAAATAAGGATGATACACTACAACAAAATCTAAAAGTTGATACATACATTATTTGTCTTTACTAATATTATAAGATTCAATAGGACGAAGTTTAACTTTTCAAACTTAGTTGAGTGTAGATATTTGACTTTATTTGTGGTTGCATATCACTTTTGAATGAAAATTTTTAATTTAAAATTTACATTTTATGTTAATTTGTGTTCGTAAAAAAAATTGAAATTTCTTTTTTCTTTAAAAAATTAACTATAGTCTGTTGTCTAAGTGATGTCAATTATAGTTAATCACATAAATTAAAATTTTAGATGGTGATTAACTTCATTTCATAATCTTTCATATCATTTTAAAAAAATAAAAATTATTAGATTATATTATAGAGATGATATTTTAAAGGAGGAAAGATGATATTGACCTAGTAAACTATTATTAAAGGGTGAAGTCTAATAAAAGACAATTTAATTTAAGGTTAAAAACGACGTAAAAAGACACGGCTGGAAATATAAAAAAAAATATTAGGTTGAGTGTGACCGAAAATATGACATTGTTTATATATTTCGGGTTGCAACCGCTAAAAAGTACCCAAAAAATGGTAGAACTGGAAAACTAATAATACCAGTAAGTATCGATACTTTTGTCATGAAATTAGTATTGAATCATATTAAATATTATCAAATATCTAATATGTTATCGTAATTACTATAATACATTAAAATGAAATCCAAATGAAAAAATATTAAATTTAATAATTTTTTAATATTATAATATATTAGAGTAATTATTTCAATATATTAAATTTACAATTTTATATTATCATATCACTAATATAATTTCATATACTACAATATGTCGTACTAAGATTTAAATGAGAAAAATACTTAATAATTAATTTAATATTTTTGAACAATAACAACTGGATTTCATAATAAAATAATGGAAGGAAACAAAATTACAACGTACCCAACATAGAGAGAAAAATAGGACAATAATAATAAAAACTCGTACATAAAACAAAATTATTAAATCTATAGATACGAAGAAAAATGAAACTTTCATAAAACTCTGTCTCTGTTGAACGAGATACTTTACGAAATGATAAAAGAGTGGTGAGCAAACCAAACAATTTGGTAGTTTGCATCACTACGCAATTTTGATTATATCGACAAACAATATTTTACCAAAGACGAGATTTGACAATACATGATCACCAAAAAACTAATCATAAAACAAATATCATAATGATGTTTCTGTGAGCATTAACACGACCGCAAATGTATGCGAAAAACGTACCAAAAGTTATAAGCAACGTGCCACAAGAGCAGTGAAAAAGCATGTCACAATAATAGAGAAAAATGTATCATAAGGACAGATTATTATTTAAAATTGAAGAAACTCAAGAAAGAAAAAGAAAAAAAAGGAACATAATATGAAAAAGAAGAAGAAAAATAATAATCGCCAACGACCAACAACCAATATTAAGATTGATGCTATCGCCGGTTAAACAAAAAAAATGGACGGAAAAAAATATTAAGAGGAACTTGAGTTAAAATGCTATAATTTATAAATAATATAACATCAGAAATACCACATTAATTAAATTAATTTCAAAGATTCTTTAATACTTAATGTAATTAATCATATATATACTATTAGCCATGGATTCATATACAAGATTCCAAAGGTAGTGGCCAATGGCCATCGTGTGTTACCCTCGATCTTAGCTTAGAATGCCATCCAATAATTACTTTAAGAGAAAATAACTTCAGTGACCAAAAATGCCTTATAATATACGATTTTAACTAACTCTTTTTGGATTTGCCAAAATGACAACTAAATCGCAATGCGATCGATAATTAGCAACGCGATCTCCGGTATCGCAAATTAGTTTCCAGATTCGCAACGCGAACTTCGACTATCGCATTGCGATTTACATATTCGCATTGCGATAGTCGAAGTTCGCGTTGCGAATCTGGAAACTGATTTGCGATAGTCGAAGTTCGCGTTGCGATTTATTCCAAATTCGTTGCGATAGTCCAAGTTCGCGTTGCGATTTATTCCAAGTTCGTTGCGATAGTCGAAGTTCGCGTTGCGATTTATTCAAAGTTCGTTGCGATAGTCCAAAATCGCAAAGACTGGTGGTATTGCATTTGTTTCTTAAGAATTTTCTCTAAAAAGATAGTATTCGTGCGGACGGGTCGAAGGCACATATTACCACGACCACGACCCGACCCGACCCGAGACGGACGACGGCGGCGGCGCGCGAGAGTCCCCCTTGTTCTCTATCACTCAACAAGAAAGTGAGAAAGCCAAGCCTTAAATATCATTCCCAATAGTGTTTTCAATACTATGTGGGATTGAGCATTACCAACACTTGTTTCCAATACTATGTGATTATTCAGGAAACAATTAACAATCATGCACCTTAAAACAACTGAATCAGCAACCAATTGCATTAGTATTATACGATTAAATATGTCATAATTAAAAGTCAATCTACAATCAATCGTGATTATTACAATTTTAAGCAAAACATTTAAAAAAAATTGCACGATTAAATATGTCATAATTAAAAGTCAATCTACAATCAATCGTGATTATTGCAATTTTAAGCAAAACATTTAAAAAAAATTGCATCACTCGCGAGAATAAAAAGAATTGTTATCGTGCAATTACAATCAATTGAAAATAAATTAGAATTGCATGAAAACTAAACGAACCACAAATACTTTTCATACAAATACTAAAGTCATTAACTATAATTCACAAATAATATCACTATTTAAGGCTCAATCTCACATAGTATTAGGAACAAGTGTTGGTAATGCTCAATCCCACATAGTATTGGAAACACTATTGGGAATGGTATTTAAGGCTTGGCTTTCCCACTTCCTTGTTGAGTGATAGAGAACAAGGGGGACTCTCGCGCGCCTCCGCTGTCTTGGGTCGTGGTCGTGGTAATACGTGTCTTCGACACGTCCGCACGAATACTATCTTTTTAGAGAAAATTCTTAAGAAACAAATGCAATACCACTAGTCGTTGCGATTTTGGACTATCTCAACGAATTTGGAATAAATCGCAACGCGAACTTCGACTATCGCAACGAACTTGTAATAAATCGCAACGCGAACTTCGACTATCGCAACGAACTTCGACTATCGCAACGAACTTGGAATAAATCGCAACGGGAACTTCGACTATCGCAATGAACTTGGAATAAATAGCAACGCAAACTTCGACTATCTCAACGAACTTGGACTATCGCAACGCGAATTTGGAATAAATCGCAACGCGAACTTGGACTATCGCAACGAATTTGGAAAATCGAATTGCGATAGTCGAAGTTCACGTTGCGATAGTCGATGTTCGCGTTGCGAATCTGGAAACTGATTTGCGATACCGGAGATCGCGTTGCGAATTATCGATCGCATTGCGATTTAATTGGTCATTTTGGCAAATCCAAAAAAAATTGGTTAAAATCGTATATTATAAGACATTTTTGGTCACTGAGGTTATTTTCTCTTACTTTAATTTATAACTATTTACAACAATAAATTATCAATAATGAAATATTGTAGTAGTTATTATAATATATTCAAATTCATGACTCTGTATTATCTTATTTATAATAGATTGTGGTAATACTAGGATATATTAAAATACAACTTAAATGATTTTTAAAATATGATAATCTGTGTAATAATTATTCTAATATATTACTAATTACAATATCATATTATTATTTATAATATATAGTAGTATTTTTTCGTAATTACGATAATATATTACTTATTACGGCAAAACTTCCAAGATATTTTGAATATCTTGCGTTTGATATCACCATCCTCATTCAAATCAAACTATTTGAAATTTAAAATAATTTCTTCACAAATTGAATAATTTATTCTAATTTGACAAAATGATAAAATTTCTTAACTTTTGAACAAATGGTCATTTTGTCTCTATTGATTTATTTGGAGTATTTTAACCTTAATATTTTAATTTTTGGTCAAAATATATCATGTTGGATGAAAATTGTTAGTTGACTAACCGTCAGTATATGTTCTTAACGTGATGTTTTCACGTACGATCAATTACTGATGTGACATATATCATATCACTCAAAATGATGACGTAACAAATATCACGTCACCTAAAATAATGATATGTCATGTGCCATTTCACAAAAATGATGACATGAAATGTGTCACGCCAACAATTGAGAACATGTAGAAATATTACGTCAACAACAAATGTTGACCTTTAATCAATTAATTATTTTCATCCAATATGGTCTGTTTTGACTAAATATTAAAACATTAAGAACTAAAATACTATAAAAAAAAGAATAGAAATAAAGTTACCATTTATACATTGGAGAGTAATTTTATCATCACGTCTGCTAATTTTTATTTGCATAATGTTATCAACAAACCCAAGTTTAATTATGTTTTATAAATAATAACTTTATAAAAAGATAATATCAATGCGCTGAAAATAGCAGGTGTACGTATGATGATATGTCTCAATGACATAAATACATGGTTTTCAGAATCGGATCGGTTAGCGAACCGGTCATGTTACCAGTTCATTGGTTCAATCGGTCAAATCGATCCGATTGATCGGAAAAACCGGACGACGTCATAATTATTTAAAAAATTAAATAAAAATACCAAAAATATTTATTAAAAAATAATTTTTTTATATCACAAGTCATATTCAAAGCAAATCATAACATATATAAGTTAAAAACTATAAAATCAAGTGAAACAAAATGATTCAAATTAACTACAACATAATATTTAAGGTAAAACATATTAAATAATAAATATAATTATATAACTATAATTAAAAAATAAATTTGGGGTTAAAAAAATCATAACAAAATGATATTGTTTAATTTAATTTTTTTTAAAAACAATCCCACATGACTAAGAAACATAGAAGAGCATCCCAAAAGTCTAAAGAGAAAATATGAGAACAAAACAATCTCACATTGCTAAGAAACATAAAAGCGCATCACAACTAACTTCTATAAATAATAGAGGTAATTTGACATTCAAAATCATGGAGCCTTTTGGTGAGCATTGAGTGAACTATTCTTTCACTTCAATCAAGCTCGAATTTTAGGCTTCAATCGAGCTTCTAATTTTTTTTTTGAGTTTAAACCTGTTTGAGTTCAAGTTTCAATATTATATTTCGAGTTTGAGTTGAACTTAATAATTTTTAGCTTGTGAGTTTGAGTTGAGTTGAGCTTACTTTTAAAGTTTTCAAGTTCGAGTCGAGCTCAACAATACTCGAGTTCGACTTGGTTCTTTTAACAAACGACGTTGTTTGGTTTAATTTGTTAAAAAAAAAACAAAAATCATGGTTTTTCCCGGTTTTCAGTCGGTCCGGTTTGAACGATTCAGCGGTTTTGGCCGGTTCACTAATAGCGGTTCAACCGGTTTAGATTAAACCGGACTAAGCAACAGTTTCCGGTTGAACCGGCCGGTCCGGTCCAATTTTCAAAACAGAGCATAAATATATACACAAGAAGAGGTAAAAATGTCTACCGGTATTCCTCTAATGTCTCCGAACGAAATGGGTCATTTCAGTGAGTTATGGATCGGTTTCCCGTTTTTTCCTTTACATCTTCACTCTCCTAATGTATAAATACTCTAATATGCCTATGTTCCGACACATCCAGCTCTCTACTGAAGAGGAAGAAAATAAAAGTTAGAAACAATGTTGGCAGCTACAATCCCTACAGATGAGCATGTTCACTCCACTTTTGCTTCTAGATATACACGCAGCCCTGTTCCCCGGTTCCGTATGCCGGAACGGACGATGCCGAAGGATGCGGCTTACCAAGTAATTCACGATGAGCTTATGCTGGATGGAAACCCGAGGTTGAACTTGGCTTCATTCGTTACGACATGGATGGAACCCGAGTGTGATAACCTTATCATGGCTGCCATCAATAAGAACTATGTTGACATGGATGAATACCCTGTCACCACCGAACTCCAGGTATCCTATATTCTTTCACTTTCATAATCTATATCTTCAGCATTCGTCAAATTAATCCGTGATCATATCGCTTATGCAGAATCGATGTGTAAACATGATTGCGAACCTGTTTCATGCACCGGTTGGGGAAGAAGAGACGGCTGTAGGTGTGGGGACGGTCGGTTCCTCCGAGGCTATAATGCTGGCGGGATTAGCTTTTAAAAGAAGGTGGCAACATAAGATGAGAACGGAGGGAAAATCGACCGAGAAACCCAACATAGTCACGGGAGCTAATGTCCAGGTGAGATTATATTTTTCTATGATTCATGTTCGACACAGTTGAAATATGTGTCGGACATGGAATCAGACTGATGAAATTGTATGCACAGGTTTGCTGGGAGAAGTTTGCAAGGTATTTTGAGGTAGAGCTGAAGGAAGTAAAGTTGAAAGAGGGATATTACATTATGGACCCAGTAGAAGCAGTGGAACTAGTGGATGAGAACACCATATGTGTAGCAGCTATCCTCGGATCGACGCTGACCGGAGAGTTCGAGGACGTGAAGACGTTGAACGACCTCCTTATGAAGAAAAACGAGGAGACCGGTTGGAACACCCCGATCCATGTAGACGCTGCTAGCGGAGGATTCATCGCTCCTTTCCTTTACCCGGATCTCGAATGGGATTTCCGGCTGCCGTTAGTTAAAAGCATCAATGTTAGCGGACACAAATACGGGCTCGTATATGCTGGCGTTGGTTGGATTATTTGGAGGAACAAAGAGGATTTGCCAGATGATCTTGTCTTCCATATTAACTACCTCGGATCTGATCAACCAACTTTCACCCTCAACTTCTCCAAAGGTAATTAACACATTAATTTCATACATTTTCTTTATATCTTTTGCCTTACACAGATGATAATTGGCCTATAATCTCAGGCTCAAGTCAAATTATTGCTCAGTATTATCAGTTTCTACGCCTTGGTTTTGAGGTAATTGCCTTTATCTTGGTGTCAAATATATATGTTTTAAAGTGTATATGAATGAATTTGTTGATGCAATTAATAGGGGTACAAGAACATAATTGAGAACTGCATGGAGAACATGAAAGTGCTTAAACAAGGAATAGAGAACACTGGGCGGTTCAACATCGTGTCCAAGGACATAGGAGTTCCGCTGGTGGCTTTTAGTCTAAAAGGTACCAGCAAACATACGGTGTTCGAGGTCGCTGAGAACTTACGGAGGTTCGGATGGATCCTTCCGGCCTATACGATGCCTGCAAACGCGCAACACATCGCAGTGTTGCGTGCCGTGATCCGCGAGGATTTCAGCCACGGCCTTGCGAAAAGGCTCGTGGAACACATCGAGCTGGTCCTAAAGGAAATGGACGCCCTTCCGGGTCGCATCCTTCCGCATAAGAAGACGGAGAGGGAAACTCAGGAGGAGGTGTTTAGGTACTGGAAGCGGCTTGTTGATCGCAAGAGATCTGGTGTCTGTTGATTTATCATCACGGTTTTACCAGGACGAGGGTCCTTCGTCCAGATTTTGGCTTACCTAATGATTTATATCTTATTATCGTTTTAAATAAACATTTCATTTACGTTATATGTATGCTTTTTTTTTTCAGGCCTTGATGCTTAAATTGGAGTGTAAGATCATCACTCTATATTAAAAAGCAAATTAATTGTTTCCATTTTAAATAAATATAAAATTTAGATTTTTCTCTTTTATCACTATTTTTCTTAATAACATGTATAGAATATTAATTAGATGTATTAATTATGCAGTTGGGTTGGGTTGGGTAATTTTCGGATGATGTTAAAGTTTAAATCCCTTTAAATTTAAGTGGTTTCGAATTTAAATTAATTGCATAAGTAAATCTTTTGAGATACATATACACTGTAAATTTATTTCAAAACTGATGATTTATCATCATCAAAGCAACATGTTTATTTAAAAGGATATATCTTTTTTTTTATATATATATAAAGAGATATGTCGTGCATGAAAGGTTGTGACCTTTCAAAGTGATGTCTATTGGCATAGAAATAGATGATCCATGGTGTTCTTCAAATCATAAAAACAACCCAATCTTTCATAATAAAAGTAAGATTACAAATTTCTTGGTTTTGCTTACGAAAGAAAATTTATACTTCGTTGTATCCCGAGAGGAACTTTGTCTTAATCCTCTAGCATCTTTGTGTGGAGGCAAATAGTTCTATTTGAAAAGCGTCATCTGCAACTCAAAGTTTTTATATAATTATGTATCGTCTTTGATTCTACGGTCTCAACTTTATACGCCGGTTAATTTTCTTTCTTTCTTCTTTTCTGTCAACTTTGAGGGGTTTATACGCCGATTTTCTGATTTTTCGATTTTCCCATTTTCCTGAAATTGCATTATGGTTTGGTCCTGAAATGTTCATGATGAGGTCTTTTGGTCTGCTTTTAATGTTCATGATGGTCCTGAAATGTTCTTTTGCTTAATTTGGTACTGCTTTTGGTCTGCTGTTGATTTTAGGTGAAAACGATGGCAACTAAGATAATATACTACTTAGCCCAAAATTTACTGCCAAACAAGTTTTATTTCCACTCGGATGTGGTGGAGAAATTAAAAGGAACAGGCTTTGAAAATCTTATCAAGCCAACCTAAGTTTCAAGGTATTGCTACCCATTTTTTATAGCACTTCTGCAGAGGTACAATAAAAAGAATTAAGTTTTTTGAATTTGGAGTTAATAATTCTATTCGATTGTTTATAACTTTGGGAGATATTTTAAAGATTACTGGTCTACCTGTAAACGGTAATCCGGTTATAGTAGATGAGACGTTAATCAATCTAGAATCTTTGTGCTCCAAATATCTTGGCAACGACATAACCTTATGTAATAAAGGTGATATTTGTATGTCTACGCTTAGTGATCAGTTTGGAAAGCTTAAATCAGGTGATCAAATAGAAAAAAGTAAAAGTTAACTTTTATGTTCGGACAGTCGTATTGTACATAATATGCTTGTTGTAGTTCCTTCCTCTTCTATGGTGCCAGCATTTTATCTGCTATTTTTAAAAGACATTGAAAAAATTCAAAGCTACTCAAAGGGTGCGGTAATGTTAATCCATTTGTACGGCCTGGATAGGAAAGAAAAAGATCAGAATTTAAGTGTTTGTGGCAATTTTCACCTTGTTTCGGTGAGTAGAAAGGATATTTTAATGATTTTTTTATCTTTATTTCATGTGTAATAATTTTTTATTTCTCTTTATTGCATATGTTTATATTTGAGCACATCCCATGGGTTGTGTCTCAATTGCTTCGTCCTAGGGGTCCGAACATACTTCCAGACTTCGTAGAGGAAGTTAATGATCGTCCCATGGAATTCCCTCTAATGGTTAAATAAGAAGATGGTTGTCACTTAAAGATTCGAGGAATACCTTCAACGAGTCCATATTTACTGATTATTTTAATCTGTTATCGGAAGATAATGTAAGTGAAAGGTATGATCTTTATGTTCTTTCTTTTAGGTTAAACATTGATGAATTTTATTCGGTCTATGATATATGATCTTATTTAGTTGAATGTTAGTTTGAATTGGTATTAGTTTTAAATATTTCAAATTATTTTCTTATTTGATATCCAAACAGGTTGAATTCAGGCCGTATGCAAGACTAAAAGAAGATTTCTTGCCTCCGCTATATAATTGTCAAGTTATATTAAAAAAATCTTTAACATCAATTATATTCGTAAAAAAGAGAAATTTCAATAATCCTAATGTCTTGATGGAGAAAAAACAAAAAAATCTCATCCACATTTTAATTGAAAGAATATATTAAAAAATCAACATGGTAAAAACATTAAAAGTAGAACAGGAACTCCGGATAAACCAAAAGCTTTGGTTATATCTTGATAAATTCAGATTAAGAAGACAGTGATTTGGAAACGGGAGAAACGAAAAGTAAAACAAATTATAATGATGAAGTCATTTAATGATGAAATGACTAATGAGGGAGAAATAATAATAATAATAAGTGCTTATTACACATTTTTTTTAAATTTCTTATTATGTCATTTTATTGTTAGAAACTATTTTTAATATTTTATCTAATCAATTCAAACATTAATAAAATGTATCTCATCATCTTTATTATTATACTAATTTAAAATGTCTTAAAATCTCTTTAAAACTTATAAAATTTACTTAAAACATAAAGTAAATCGACTTTCATTTATAGCTTCTATCATTCAATCAAAATGAAATTGAGATATAGTTTTTCTCGTTTTCTTCCGTCTTTCTATTATTGAGATCTCGAATAAATTTTTTTAACATGTATATATTAAAAAGAGTCTGAAAATCTAAATTCAAGATTTACAAAGAAAAAATTATGAATTTTTTGCATAAAATTACAAGTAAAATTTATGATTTTTCAAGAATTTAAAAGAAAACTGTCACACCATCACAATGTTGAAGAATTACAAGCGACTTAGAAAAACAAATTTCAAAAGTTTGAAACCTCAAATTGCTGTTGAGCTTGAAACACGTTGAAGGGCCATGAAGTGATGGTAAGGATTTTAGGTAGTTTGAATTCATGGTAATGGATATGGAAGTGATAAATTTTGATTTTATTTATGATTTTATTTAATAAATATTTTTAGAGATTTTCTGAAATTAAATATGTAATGATTATCTGATATATTTTTTGAAGTGATTGGTTTTTTAATGATTTTAAATTTTAAATATACTAATATGTGGTCTCTAACTTTGAATTTAAAGTATATCAATTTAAAATTATTTTTTAAGAGTTATTTGTTTTTATTTTAATTTTTTAATAGTCTAATATGATTATAATATATTATTTGTTTATAATTTTTTAATATATTATTCACTTGTACACATTTTACATATGCTGCTACTTGAACTCAAGATCTTTAAGAATATCAATGTTTTCTTTTTTTCCTTGACCCATTTGAAGTGAATATAAAATAATATATGTCTAAATGTCATTTTTTAATATTATGATCACTTAATTGCAAAAATATTAATGACAAATCAATATAACTACAGCAGGCGGCCCACTTAAAAATAAAATAAATAATAAACTGTAAGGTTCATCACTTTTGTTTAAATTTTATACATTTTTACTCGTTAAATTTAAAACATATAATATTTAACACTTTTATTTTTATTTAATTAATATGTGGTCACTTAGAGTTAACTGTCGTTAGATTTTTAATAAATTATTGTTATGACATAATAAATATAAAAAACTAAAAAATATAAACTACACAAATAGATACTAATATTTGATTAAATTTTTGTTTTTCTTAATAAAATTTTAAAAATAACAAATTAGTCAAAATTGTTTTGCAGTATAGGTATTATGGGCGATTTGACCTAACTGAACCTTTTTTTTAAATTCTCCCGTTATAACACCCGTTGACCAATATTTCCTGAAATAGCACCCTTTCAGCTGAGGTGGCACCTGGGTTTATGCTGAGTTGGATGCCACGCGTGAAAGGCGCATCCCAGGGGATGCGCTTTACATAGGTTCTGCTGAGTCAGATGCCCCACTGATTTTTTTTAATAATAAAGATTTTATATTTTTTGTTATTATAAATTATTAATAAATTATTAATATCTCATGTATCAATATAAATTATTAATAATAAAGATTTTATAAAAAGTGTGTCGGTTATAATTGTACGATTATATATCTATAATTTTTTATTTTGATTATCGATCTATTAATTTTATCATTTAATTATTTAAATGTTATCAATCTTCAATACTTACATATTTTAATTTTCAATACTTACATATTTTATCAATTTAGTCTTAATTTTAATTTAATTTATTAAATTTAATCATCGAATTAGAACATGAAATGTGTGATCGTATACATTATTTTTTTAACTTTTAATTTGTTTAATATAATTTTTTTTCTCTACTTAGAAGGTGGAATTATTTTAATATTTTAAAATTAATACTAATTTTTTTATAATAAATAATACTAATTATTATATTAAATAAATATAATTAATCATTTTATAAAATTAAAATATAAATAATTTATATAATATTAATCAAATATCATAAAATAAATTTTAAATAATAAGTTTTTTTAAAAAATAAAATTTATTTAGGTGTACATACATTGGGAAATTATAGAAAATGTAATTACATTTAAATATTATAAACAAAAATATTCATTTAAATAGAATATTAATTACATAAAGGTTAACGGTTATGTGCTGATAACAGAGCTGTACATTTTTTTCTATTGTGTCCGATGTTTCTATAATGGCAACATCGTTTTTGTTCTGTTGACTCCTCCCGAATATTCATATCACAATGTATTCTAGTAGATTTTGGACGACCTGAGCCCTCAATAGCAACAGATCTGGTACAATTGTAAGCCAAGTTTGAATATCGTCTGGGTCTCTTTCGTTACCTATGGGCGGAAACTCAAATTCATATACCTTGAATACTTATGAAAGGTGGGATACGAGATCAACATAATTTTTGTAGTCCAAATGCGAATGTGAGCAAGCTGCAATTACATGAGAGCATGGATATTTGAGTGCTTGAAAGAAACCACAATCGCACCATCTCTCTTACAGATTAACTCTTAAAGAGTTAGCTTCAATCCCTTGCATCGAACGTGGCATTTCGGTTACACGAAA